GCCATGCTCATGATATATGTCTTCGCTACTCTGGCTCCTTATCGATAAGACTGTGCTATTCTCCATGTCATTCTCCCTACGAGTCTTCCTTTGTTTATCTATACCAGAGTGTTACTACGCTCAGGCAGTGCGATATCATAGTCGATATGCTGCTCATTTTGCGCCTATGTTGCGACTCCCAACACTCTACCCGCTTCCATCAAACCCCGCGACACGCACATTTTGAACCAGGTCATTGTCCAGTCAGCTTCTGCGCCTGCAGTTCGTTATGCTCAGCCTCTTCTGGCTGGATATCCAACGCGACCAGCGCAGTCGAATGAAGGACGGCAGGACAACTGTGACTCACATTTGGAGAACGAGCACGACAACCGCCGCGACAACAACCGAGGAGCTATCGTGGCCCTTACGCGTGGCCACTCACTGATCAATAAGAAGCTAGACGTCGACTTCACCGCAGTGCAAGACGTCTCGACCATCCAGGCTATCACCAAGCACGCTACGTATGTCCTTCCACGCGCTCCATGCCTTTACACGCTGACTTTTGACTACCAGGGTACTGTGCTACGAGCATACTCTCCCCCAACATCGCCGCAATCCGCTCTGCCACTTCGAAGTGAGACGAACACGTTCCCGATGTATACGCTGCCAACCGTTCTTAACCCCGCGCGAGACACCCACACAGTTTGGATGACTCAAAGGTTGCCCTTGAGATTCGCAAGGTCGGCGCTTCGCCCCATGATACTGCGGTGACGCGACGCAGACGAGCGACTCACGGTTTTCGATATCCATATGTACCCATTCAATCAGGTCCCCTCGGGAAGAGAGAAGCATCTTCAACACAAGAACTCGCAAGGTCGGCGGATAAGGAATATACTAGCCTACGAGCAAGGACACAGGAGTTGCTGAGCGCATACACTGGGACGCTGGACCTGCTTGGTAACAATATTTTCGTGCGGTTGGAGGAATTGGGCAAGGTTCATTCGGGGATACAATACGGTCTACCAGATATCACAGGCAAGCACAAGGGCAATCGACATCACAAGTTCTCAGTAGATCAATAGAAGTGTAAATATCGGTTAAATAACCAAAGCGCTATGCTACAAGAAACGGGTGTATATACACAAAAGAAGCGAAACAGTCGTCGTATCCAACGAACGAACCATCAAAAGGTAGTCTCTCTCAGAAGAAGGGTATCCATCAAATCATATCATCCCCAGCGTGTTTGCTCAACGCTTACAAGAAAGAGCGAGCGTGGCGGCGGGCCTTGGAGGCAGAGCCGCTGGCCTTGCCCTCCAACCAGGTGATGAAGGTGTCGATGGTGAAGCTCTCGGGGAGGGCGTCACCGCCGGTGGAAGGAGCAGCGGAGGGAGTGGCGGAAGGAGCAGTGGAAGGCTCGGCCTCGGGGGTAGCGATGGGGCTGGCAGAAGCGGCGGGGGTGGAAGGGCTGGCGGCGGGTGCAGAGGGGCTGCTGGTGGCGCTGGGAGCAGCGGAAGGAGTGCTGGGCTTGGTGGGAGTGGTGCCGTTGCTGGGAGCGGAACCAGAGCCGCCGGAGCCGAAAAGAGGAGGGCCGGGGACGGTGTAGTCGATGTTGGCGCCGTAGGGGCTGAAGAGGATACCGGGGTCGGTGGGAGTGTAGAGCTCAGTGCCGATAACGCCCTCTGGAGTCTCGGTTCCGGAGCCAGTGACCTCGATGTTCAAGCCTGGAGATTCAATTAGTGATTGGTTCTTCATGTGACTGGCGGGGTATTCTTACATTGAGGGTAGTTCTGGGCGCCGTTCACATCACCACCGCCGTGGAGGGCAATGATCTCGTGGCGGAAGACGTACTTGCCAGCGGCAAGGCTCTCGGGGACAGTGACGGGCCAGGTGTTGTTTTGGCCAATCATCTTGACGGCAGCCCACTCGCCGTTCTCGTAGCCAGCACCGTCGATCTTGGTCCACTTGAGCTCCTCCTTCTTGACGGCGGTAACGTCGCCAGTGTAGGGAGCGACGTAGGTGATGACGGGACCGACGTGGCTCTCGGGCCAGGTGCTCCAGTGGAACTCAACGGTGCCACCGGCGGCGACCTTGGCCATGCTGTCGGAGCTGCCCTCGGGGCTGGCGGCCTTGTGGCAGATGATGTCGGCATCACCGAAGGAGTTGGGCTCGACGAAACCGTTGTCGAGGTTCTCAGCGTACCAGCCAATGTGCTCTGGTACCTGACCGCCGTTCTGCTTGGCGTAGTAGTAGTCGAGGCTGAAGCCCTGCTGGAAGACACCGTCGATGGTGACGCCGTTGACAATGCCGTGGGCAGTGGCGGTGGCAGCGAGAGCCGCGATGGCGCTAAGGGAGGTAACGGTCTTGTACATGTTGACTGATGTAGATGGAGTTCTTCGAAAGAATAGAGTTGGTAGGTTCGATAGAGACGAAAGTTTGGAAGTTGTTGAAAGAGTGTCTGCCGGCTTCACACAGTGAAGGACTTTGATGAACGAATGTGAGTTGAAAAGAAGGGACTGGTATAGAACCGAAGATTGAAGCTGTAGCGATGGTGCTTGGAGTGAGGTACGAGGTGCCCTATTTATTCAGTTCAGTCTCTGCTCCTACAAATGCTCGGCATACATCGACCCACATCCTGGGCGACTCGCAAAATGAGAGCCCAGAATGGTGGGTTCATGCTGGGCGCGCAGGAATATGCATCCCGCGTTGTTTGAATCGCCATGTTTCCTGTTGCGGAGAGACAAGCGACATTGTCAGGATGCGCAGGCCGTTTCCTGCCTGCAGCCAAGAGCCATCCCACGCCTCCGAACCAGTTCCAGAATCACTGCGCCCTGCCACAATCCAGTTCTCAGTCTCCGGTATGCATCGTACGCAGCGTATTCGTCGTCATGAATCGTTCCGGTCGGCGTTGTTGTGGTTTCGGGTTCGAGCGATAACGTGCAGCGGGGCCGCGCGAAACGTGCATCCCGCGTGTTCCTGGATCCGCCCTTGCATAGTAGACGCCGCCAAGAGCTTAGTTGTTTCTGTCAAACGAGGTGCCGAGGAACGCCGCATTGTGTGGCGCCTGTCAGATGTCTAGATCCGATCGTGCTGGGTTGGTAGATGTAGTGTTGATGAACGGCAGGGTTAATGTTCATGCCCTCGATGGCGGGCTTGAAAGGTACGTCAGTAAGACGGTCCGGTTGCCGAACCCAGCTGCCGTGACCTCATCATGTCATCCCATCTCCAAGACACTCCGACCGACCAAATTTTGTCGCATGCAACACCAAGCTTCCTTCGATCCTGCACAATATCCACACCGATGTTGTCGACTCGTCAACGTCGCGCGCGCAACCGTTATGCACCCCTGACAGCGTAACCGATCCTTGGGGCCCACCACCGAACTTCGCGTGTGCAGCCTGGTTTCAGACGTGAAACGGCCAATATTGCCCCCAATGGTAGTGAGCGGAGATGCGCCTAGATCGAGGCAGGCGTGTTTGACGACATCGTCGTCGATATTAATCAAGTCGGGTATTCGGGGGCGGCGCTTCTTGGACGGCTGGCGGTGCAACTGCATCTCAGGCGCGGCGCCGTCGACTTTAACATCTTTTTACCTTTGTCTTTAACCGTTCTGCCTTTTAGGCTGTCGATGTAAATGGGGTGGGCCTGAGGCTGTTTCTTCTTCTCTATGTCTCAAACGTAGCTCGTGATGAACATCCACAGCAGGTTGGTATGACGGAGTGCCATCTCTCATCTATTCCAGTACGTACCTTTCAATCAGTCTCATAGTGTGCCGCAGCCGGAGTCTACCTGGCTCTTTTCAAGCTGTTATATTGCGTTTCTTTTTCTGTGGCGTAGGCCCTATCTCCACCGCACATATTGCCAATACTCCTCTTCAGTCCTCCTTGTTCACATCAAGCTAGGTTTTTTGCAACTATCTGTCAATGTATCGCCCTTCTAAGACCTCCCGGGTATGTCATTTCGTCGTTGTTTCCAAGGTGCTGGTATGACGTAGTCGCAGTGTGCCGTCTAGCAACACCAAAACACCGCACTGAGCAGCCAGCATCTCAGTATCTCAGCATAGCATGCACCTCCAGGCACCGTCGTTACAATCTACCCGTCACCGCAAAACTCCTCGAGTACCTCCACGCAATCTCATCGCACTGCTGTCCCTCAAGTCAGAATACAATGTGCCCTCCCCGCCGCTCTCACTTATGGCACATATGCCGCGTAAACCCTCTGTATTCCATCAAAACAACTCAACCCGGGTCTCTTAGTGGAGTGGTAACACGTTCACCAACAGTTCCTGTGAGTACAGAGTGTCAGTTGACGCTGGCACCATCAGTGTCCCGGTCACTTGACTGGTGATAGCTGTGCTTTGCAGTGTTTGTGAGAGACGCTTGTTCGACTCAAGCAGAGACCAAGTATATCATCTTTTTTTGCTAGATTTAAGTACGTAAGTAAGGTAAGGTGAAGGACAAGTGCGTTTGCGTGGGTGTGCCGCTCCAATTTTGATTTTCGTTGGCGACTTGTTTGGGGTGAAGGACAGAGCTTTTTTTTACCGACGTTGTCTTCAGTTTTCCACACAACTCTAATAATTCTATATGTATTATGGAGCTGGTTCTCTCTTCATCAAAACACACCAGGCTTCTTGGTCTAATGGTATGACGACACAGACCGACAGGTTCTCCGTCAAGGTCATTTGTATAGTATTGTGTTGAAGGTAACTTCGGACCTGCTTGGAATGCCATCGTGACGCGCCCTACTTGTGTAGATCAAGGTTCGATCCCTTGAGAAGCTATCATTTTTTGCTTGTATAGACGTCCCGGATCATGTCTACATCCGCTTATTTTTTGTTCAAGGTCTGGGCAACTTTCTCTTTTAAGGAATACGACGACGGTAGCGGTTGAGTATCTACAACCGACGACGTCAATGTAGGCTCTACGGCCTTTTATACCTTGATGTTGCGCTGATTGTGGTCTTTTTGTATCCTGTAAAGCTTGTTGTGGTATGGCACGCGTTGATTGAAAAGTATACGTAAGCGGCTACTCCAACCACGCCTGCAGACCGCCAACCAGCAAAACAGCAATACCCAACACCCACTGCGCAACCCCAAAGGCACCCTGTACGTCGCCCTTCCTGACCGTCCACAGAATCGCGAACACCGCACTACCCAAGCCGCAAACACCCATCATCACCGCCCACACGCGCTGCGCAAGGAACCCCTCCACGAGATGAACGCCCCAGCCCATACCGAACTCCAACCGCTGCCTCCGTTTCGGACTGCGAAGATACGTAATCAGCTCGCCCTCATAATCCTGCGGGTGCTTGAACAGATGGAGGAGATAGGTGCTACCAACAGGCGGCAGGAGGTCGTTAGGCTCGAAGGTGTACGGATGCTGAGACGGCGCTGCAGACTTCTCTGGTTCGCTGGTCGATGCTGAAGAGGCAGCTGACTTGGGAGGCATAGACGGTGTCGCACGGATATCAGCGAAGCGATTGCGATGGACTTCGAATTGAACAAACTCGATGGTCGTTAGCCCGCGAAGACGAGCCCAGTTGAACCACCGCCGATTGAGCTGGTCATAGTGCTCTCGCAGCGCGAGCGCTAGATCTTTGTCGCTTCTCACGCGCCCTTCGTTGACATCGAGATGGACGATCTTGGGTGTTAGGCGGCCCTCATTTGCGCATGTCAGGAGCCAGGATTCTTGGACGAAGGACGGCATGCGGACACTGAAGGGGTTACTGGCTACAGTACGCGACGGACTATACTTGGAAGGATCGCTGCCTCTGGTCCAAGAGTTAGGCCCGCCGTATGTCGACGATGGCGTGGTCAATGTGGACGCTCTGCTCGACGAGTCAAAGATGGAGGCCATCGATGATGCGGTGCTGCTTTGGCTGGTAGGGCTATGTGGTGTATGAGATCTTGGGCGGTTAAGATAAGCTTCAAGAAGGCGGGCAGCATTGGGTCGCTGTTCGATAAAGTCGTCAAACAATGGCTCACCACATGACTATATCTTGTTAGCATCGTTCACAGAAAGAGTATGCTGAGTTACTTACGCAAGTCCATCGCACCCGCACATGCCCCTGCGGCACGGGCGGTTCAGTACCGAATGTATCACGAAGCAATCGAAAGCCTTCGTAGGCTTTATCTGACAACGCACTCAATGCAAGACCCCAGTACCTCAATGTTGTGTTTCGACCCTCAGGAGATGCCATCCGTATTTCTGCTTCCGGAGGTAGCGGTATTTCGCCAACATGATCGTCAATGGATGGTTCGACAATGGTGGGAACTACAGGCTTTTCGAATCTATCATCAAGATCCTCATTCTCGGACTCAATTTGATCTAAAGCTCTTCTTAGCGCTTCACGGAGCTCATCTGCGCGACTCGCCCCTGCCGATTGCGGTGATAGCAGTGCATTGGCGTCCTCGGTATCTATTGACGAAGAAGAGGACGATGCGCTCTTCCTTATTCTAGGTGATCTCTTGCGGCGCGTCGCCGGCGAAACATGAGCTGACTTGGTCTGAGGTACGTCGGTGTTCAACCGTAAGCCATGTTTGGGTCTGGCAGGGACATGAAGATCGTCTGCTGATGCATGACGAAGATGCCGTGGCTTCGCCGCGCTCGTGTGTCGCATCGGTTGCGACCAGGTGGCATACTCATCGGACGCTAGATCGATTCCACTCGACTTTCGAGACATGGGACGGATACGTTCCCGCAAAGTAGTCGAGTTCACTATATCCTCTACAACTTGACTATCGGATGCAAAGGTTGCCGGTCCCACGCGACGCTTGACGGATTTGTGAGCATCTGACCGTTTGAGGTCTAGGTTCGCCGCTCGGCTCTTCACACGGGGACGCGTCTTCTTCTTCTCGACACGCTTTCGTACAGGTCCAACGAGTGACAGACCGCGGGTTGGCGTCTTCACGATACTGGAGACTGAGGCTGACCGGGTAGGAAACATTGATGGGGTCTGAGATGACGGTTCTGCATCAGTCTGATCTTCATCCATACGGTCGTATATCGAGCGGATGTCTGGTATCAGAGTCTCAGCATCACTGAAGCCATCCTCTGCAATCGAAGTCCGGGCTAGACTATTGCGCGGCAAATGACTCCTTGGTGGAATTGTGGACGGCGGTGATCGTTGGATGCCTGATGTGTTGGAAGTACCGATCTCGAAGATATCGTCGCGACCCAAGAGACTGTCGGTATTTGATGCAACAGCTGGAGAAGGAGAATACAGCTCCGCAGGCAAAGTCGCCGAGTCAAGCTCTGGAGTCGCAAATACCCGTTCTGAGCCAACCGCTTGACCCAAATCAACTTCGGCAATCTCGTTCGAATCGGTTGAGCCTTTCAACAAGCGCACCACGTAGCCCTTGCCTTTTTTCTTGATCCTGGCCTTGATGTCGGTAAGTCGTTTAGACTGGGTGGAAGCCGTTGAGTCGCTCCGCGAGAAGGACACATTCCAATCTGGCACTACTTTTTTGAGAAAGTCAGGAGGCACATTGTCCAGGTCGGCCCAGCCTTGCCTTTCGTGGAGAGGAGTGCTTGGCGGACTCGTCTTTTGAGGAACTGAGCTCTCGACACTAGACTTGAAGCCATCTCGTAGAGTCGTAGACGCGGCAACATTAGGTGCACAACTCAGAGGCACACCGATCGACGATTGTTGTTTCGGGCCCAGGTTGAAGACGAGCTGAAATTGGCCGGGATTGCGTGCATCTTCTTGGAGATTGAGAGTGAACGGCACCGATTGCGTCTTTTCGTATTGTGGAAGAGGCGTTTCGCGCCCCGCATCAGACATCTTTGGATCATTGCTCATTGGGTGCTGCTGATTGAAGCGCAAAGGCACAGGAGAAGCGATTGAAGAAGCCTATCGCGATGCGAAAGTCAGCCACCAAAACCGGCAGATGTTCACTTCAGCCTTGCGATGACAAAGGGTTGCCCTGCCTGAAACCTGAGAGCCATAGAGACTTACCATGTTCGCATAGTGTTCACGCCGCGATGCAGGAACAGTCGCCTGAGGGACGCAGAGAGGGGCGACATCTTGCTGGTTTTGACCGGTCCAGGCTGCAGTCAGCTGTAGTTTTGACGAACCGGAGATGACTGCTGCGGTCGTTCCTGCACTGCCACCACTGCTGCAGAGCGATCAACGAGGCTGTCGTGCCGGCCCGCTGATTGGCGAACTTCATCAGCCGAACGCAGCCAGCATCATATGCGTGGGTTGCCTCATCTCTATCTGTCTTCTTAACTCTGCCTTACCCGCTGAAGCGTGGATGTACGATTGCGCAGCCTCGATATATTGTAGTACCTACTTCTCGCCACCAGACGCGTCGTCGGTATCGTCTTTCTGTGCAAACCTACGCGTCACGCTCTGACACGCCGCCGGAACTCAACAAACCTGATCGATCGTGTACGAGAGGAGATGCGCATCGCATGGTTGCTGAATATGCATGATGCGCAGTCCGCAATGATGTTGAGATAGACTTCGTGGCTCGAGGTAGCGAGCTGTCGCGTTCCATGGCACCCGTGGACGCGCCTTCCCGCTGCCAATGCCGTGCGTCATGCCACACCCATCTTCCACTTCCAGCCCCAAACTCCGACATATGTACACCACCACAACACAACTGCGGCACACCTCCGATTTCCAAGATCTTGGCCATGATGCTCCGGAGGGACTCTCGTCACATGCCCTCATCATTCTTCCGGACCAATCTGTTCAGAGTTCTTCCTCCGCGCCTCGGCACATTCGATGACTAGGCATTAGCTAAGTTGGCTAAGGCTTGCTCGGTGTATAAACTACCGCTTTCCCCGCAAGACACGAAGATCCTTGTTCCCCACAATTACTCCGGGCAGCGGTCTCCAGATTCCCGCCATTGAACGACGTGTTTTTTGCGGAGAGCAAGGATGCTTGCCATGTGTGGCAGGGCGACATGACGTTAAACGGGCAGACTCCGAGAACTACCTCGCACCACCGACCGGGAACGAAGTATCGATCACATGGTAGTATGGTAGATCCCGGTTGACTGGCCGGTAGAGTTGCATTGGCATTTGTTTATATACTTTGTTGATGCCGGCTGCGATTTTGGCTTCATCTTGCACATCTCTCAAGCCTTCAAGATGCGTCTCTCTACCCTCTTCCTGTCGCTCATCAGCGTCGCTACGACCGTTTCTGCGCACCCCAAGAAGGCAGTACAGCCTACCTTCTCTCGCAATGTGATCTTCTCACCACCTAGGGATGCCAACTGGACCGACCCTGGTGTTCTGTACGCGCGCAGTGCCCAGCTCGCTGACGGTTCGCTCCTCGCAACCTGGGAGAATTACTCGCCAGAGCCACCAAAGGTCTACTTCCCCATCTTCAAGTCAACCGATGGCGGAAAGTCATGGAAGGAGTTCTCGCGCGTGCAAGACACAAAGAACGGCCTCGGTCTGCGCTACCAGCCATTCCTCTACGTACTTCCTGAGGCGATTGGTGGCTACAAGGCGGGCACAGTCCTCATCTCTGGTTCTTCCATCCCCACCGATCTCTCAACCACCGACATCGTTCTATACGCCTCCAAGGACAGCGGCAAGACCTGGGAGTTCGTCTCTTCGATCGCCAAAGGTGGCGAGGCTCGTCCCAACAACGGCCTTACTCCCGTCTGGGAGCCTTTCCTCATGATGAACAAGAAGACTCTCATCTGCTACTACTCCGACCAACGCGAGAACGCCACCTACGGCCAGAAGATGGTTCACCAGACCACCACCGACCTCAAGACATGGGGCGCAGTCATTGACGACGTCACGTACCCCACCTACACCGACCGTCCTGGTATGCCCACAGTCGCCAAGCTCCCCAACGGAAAGTACATCATGACCTACGAGTACGGTGGCGGACCTGCCATAACCACCTCATACCAGTTCCCCGTCTACTACAAGATCGTGTCCGACCCTGAGAAGTTCGGCGAGGCCACCGGTATCAGCCTCAAGTCCACTGACGGCACTATCCCCACCGGTTCTCCATACGTCGTCTGGAGCTCTGCTGGCGGCAAGAACGGAACCATCATTGCCAGCGCGCACAGCAACTCGGAGGTGTTCATCAACAAGGGTCTTGGAGAGGGCCCTTGGGTCAAGGTTGCTACTCCTGAAGCAACCTCTTACACCAGGCATCTTCGCGTCCTCAAGGACCAGTCCAAGTTGTTGATTATGGGTGGTGGAGAGCTGCCTCCTGCTAGCAACAACTCTGTTACTGTTACTGTTGTTGATATCAGCAAGTGGTAGATCAGACATAGTAATATTGAAGGAAAAAATAGTATCAACAGAATACACATGAAGTTACAGATATTCCAACTCGTTCCCACGTTCTCTTGATACTGTACAATGACTCCAGCATCAGCAGTGTGATAAATATACTCAAGCATGCGAGTACATTCGTTTCCGTCCAAGATATTAAATGTCTCCGGGCTGGCGTCCGGCAGAGTTCGGATGCTTGTTATATGCTTCACGTGCAAGACAGGGAAGCCAATGTATCAAGTAACATATCAAACAACGACCGATGTGCGACAGCTTTCCTACTGGGAGCATTGACTCGTCGTTGCCAGCATCGGATGACACCGTTTTGCAGTACCGACTGTGTAGAGTTCTGGAGATATGCAAGGTCTAGGACAAGCGATGGAGAGCGGCGGAGTCCTAGTTTTCATGTTGCGTACGGGAACTAGCTGCGAAGCTACTGCTGATTACACGACCGTGCAGTGACGATGTTCGCGTGTCAATGTTCGCGGTCTCAAAGAGTGATGGTTCGCGAACCCCACTTAGCGCCCCACTAGCGCCGGGCCGACCATTTTTCCTAAGCGAGCCACCGTGGGTCGCTGAATTTGGCTCTCGCGATATCTTCGAACGCCGCAGCATTCAACGACAAGCCCACGGAACCGCCTCTCTCCACCTCCCAATCCCAAACCAATACCGCAATCATGCCCGGAGTTTCCGTCAAGGACATCGAGTCCCACAAGTTCGTGGCCGCCTATGCCGCCTTCTTGAAGCGTCAGGGAAAGCTTCCCATGTAAGTTTTGGCCTTGCGCAATACCACACGATGTCAAATGCTAACGTTCTGTCAGTCCAGGTTCGTCTCTATCCAGCGGGTGAAGGATGAAGCCTGAATCCCGTAAATGGGGGATAACCTCAGTTCGCTGACCACTTATCTACAGGCTGGGTTGACACTGTCAAGACAAGCCGTAAGAATCAGATCTCCCTACCTATGTGAGAAACTTCAACTAACATGCGCAGACTCCAACGAGCTTCCTCCCCAGGACATTGACTGGTTCTACGTCCGCGCCGCCGCTGTCGCCCGCCACGTCTACATGGTACGCGAAACTACCACCTCCACTACAACGGATATATGAAAGAAGGACAGACATGCTGACGAATTGTACAGCGCAAGACCGTTGGTGTCGGCCGTCTCCGCAAGGTCCACGGCTCAACCAAGAACCGCGGTTCGCGCCCCTCCCACCACGTCGATGCCTCCGGCTCCGTCGACCGCAAGGTCATGCAGGCTCTCGAGAAGATCGGTGTGCTCGAGCAGGACGAGGACAAGGGTGGCCGCCGCATCACACAGTCTGGTCAGCGTGACTTGGACCGTATCGCGCAGACCACTCTCGAGGCTGAGGAGGAGGAGGATGACGAGTAGATTATCACCTTCTACGCGGAATATGTGTAAAAGAGCTGTCTAGCATTTGATTGCGGGGCGGCATTACGGATCTACCACGGTTTACGGCTTATGGCGTTGAAAGACATGATTGAGTCGGGCCTGCTTTTAGCCTAGGACTTCCAATGACACTGGGCTTGGGCCTCAAAAGCAACATGATACCCTCTACTTCGACATCCGTGCAAATCGTTCCTTGTGCTGTGATTCCGCCATTGCTATGGTCTCGCTCTCTCGTTGAAGTTCATGCGCGCTTGACCATGTCATGTCCAGGAACATACATTGCATATGGTCTGTTAACTTGTCGTGCACATGCCAATCCAATGTCAATATATGCAATGTGCAGTACTCTGCTCCCCTCAAAACAAATCGGTCATAGCCCCGTGACTGGCATCCCCCACCAACCTCGCATACTTCGCCAGCACACCCCTCGTGACGGGCATACTAGGCGCCACCCACTCCCTCAACCGCCTATCAATCTCTTCCTGTGGCACATCCATATCAATACGATTCTTCTCCGCATCAATCGTAATCATGTCGCCGTTCTGCACAACCGCAATAGGACCACCAACCGCAGCCTCGGGACAGATATGGCCGACGATGAAACCATGAGAAGCGCCAGAGTAGCGTCCATCAGTGATGAGGGCCACGTTGGTAAGTTTGGCGCCCATGATGGCAGCCGAGGCTTTGAGTTGTTCAGGCATGCCAGGACCGCCTTTGGGGCCTTCGTAGCGGACGACTACGACAACGTTTTCGCCGTGAGGGATCTGGCCTAGGTTGAGCGCGCGGTCGAGCTCGTGTTCTTTGTTGAAGACTATGGCTTTGCCGGTGAAGATTAGGCCTTCTTTACCCGTGATCTTTGCGACGGCGCCCGAAGGCGCGAGGTTGCCACGCAGAATCTCGATGTGGCCGGTGGGTTTGATGGGGTTGGACAGGGGCCGGATGAGGACTTGGTCTTGGGGGAGGGACGGGTAGGATTCGATGTTTTCGGCTAGGGTTTTACCTGTCACGGTGGGTATGCTGCCGTCGAGGAGATTGGCTGCTACAAGCAGTTTCATGACGGAGGGCATGCCGCCGATGTCGAAGAGGTCGGCGGCCATGTACTTTCCTGATGGCGCGAGGTCGGC